CTTGGTATATCAGACAGCTGTATTTCTAGGCAGCAATTATGAGTAAAAGGAAATATTTATATCCTCTATAGTCATAAACATTACACTTAACTACCAAGTTTATTGAATATATTTTATAGACTCACTTTTATTCTACTAGACATTGTCAGTTTATATCAAAGATTAAAATTTATGACTAAACTAAAAAAAGTCCTCATATGATATAAAGCAACTGTATTTCTTTTAGGAGATATCTGAAGAGGTTATTGGATCACCCATCCCAGAACCCAGACAGCGCTCAAGACTTCTGAGATCTCAGTCAGAAAGCTCTGACGAAGTTACAGAATTGGATCTTTCCCATGGAAAAAAAGATGCTTTTGTTTTGGAGGTGATGTTGCATAGAGCTTTCCTTGGAGTTTTGGCAGTTTAGACTCAGATCCTAAATTAATATGATACCTTGTTTTAAATATCAAAAAAGCAAAAATGTTTAATCATAACAAATTAATATAGAATTCAAAATATAAGAACACAGTGGCTGACACAATAATGCGGATGGTTCTGTAACAATTAATGTATGATTGAAGTAATATTAAAATAGATGGAGCATCCCTAATCCAGGATTCTAAGAAAAATGTTTAGATTTTGAAACATTTCAGATTTTTGAAGCATTTTGGCTTTTACCATTAGAGATGCTCTGTTCTTAAAAGTACTGTGCAGATATTTCAATATCTGACAACTCTTGTCTGAAACACTTCTGATCTCAAGGTTTTTGGATGAGTGATACTCATCCTGTAACATTAAGTAGATGGAGTCAGTTTTATGAATTTAAGTGTTTATATGCTGTTCTTTGACTTACTATATTTATTACCCACTTTTTAGGATAATGGGGTCATTAATATATATGAATATAAACACTGCAAATTCTGGGTATAATGTTTCTTGCTGAATTAAGAAATTATAGTTAGGGGACTGGGGAGATAGCTCGGCAGTCTAAATGCCTGCTTGGCAAGAGGAAGGACCTTGGTTCAGTCCCCAGTAGAGAATGCTGTGCTAGCTTCAGAACCTGCTGTGCCAGGCACCAAAATTGGGCATGGTGGCACCCACTTGTAATCCTAGCATCGGGGAGGCTAAGACAGGAGGATCACTACAAGTCT